CTGTGTCACAAGGCCCACCTCGCTCCTGCTCCCCTCAATCAGTACCTTTGGTAATAACACTCAAAGTTGTATGCAATGGTGATGGAGAACTTTTTTTCACAGGTGGCTCTCAGGGCAGGATGTGTAACATGGGCCTTCTTGAACCGCAAGCCCATTGGCCTAAGGAACCTTTCGTATTTAGGTGGTTGTCTTGTAAAGCCACAAAGGAGACTTTAGTGACCATCCTCCCCCATGCCTTCTCCAGTTCGCATAACTTTAAGTTTCTCCCTGGGCACAAACTTTGGGCAAGGGACTTCCCATCGTCCCGCCTTCTCTTTTGGTTTTTGTTTAATCGTGCTGGAGAGTACTTGTGCACGAGACTGTCCCTCTCTGTCCAGCAGGCGGGCAGGGACTGCAGTCTTTTTGCAGTTCTTGTGTTTGCTGTTTCTCTTTTCATGCATCTTGATAGCCTTTGCATGTTTTTTTCTCAGCACGGTAGAGCTCAGCCTTCAGGCCGATCATTTATTTTACTGTTGGCCTTCTTTGAATGCTCACGAGCCTCTTGACTTTCCTTCTCTCTCTTTTTCTCATGATAATACAAACAATACCCGTAGCGTTGGCAGTGTAATTCAATATATTCATTTTTGTAGCCCGATGACAGCTGCAGAGCCAGCCCCAGGGGCAGCCTCAGGCGTGTGAAGAAAAGTCTGACTTCGGGGTGTCACACATACAGCTGCCTCCATGCCAAACCACTTTATTTTTAAATAAATTTACTTTTTAATATAGTTTTAGATTTTCTGAAAAATGAGGGAGCTAGTACAGCAGCCAGTTTCCGCTACAAACAAGCGGTCCATTAGCATGCTGCACGGCTTAGAATTCCTGAGTCACTCCTGGTGCATAATCAGCTCCATCCGGTTCAGAGTTCTTCTGTTTTTGCCTGGTGTCCTCTTCTTCTTCTAGGATCCCATCCAGGACTCCACATTTCATGTCTTTGCTGTGGCCGTTTCTCTGGCTTTCCTTGTTTTGATGACCTTAACAATTTGAAGAGTCCTGGACGGCTAGGTTGTGGGATGTTCCTCAGCAGGAATTGTTCAGACGATTTTTGTCCTGAGTTAGGGTTTTGGAAGATCAGAACATCACTTTCATGTTGTATCCAGAGGCCAGACTATCAGCGTGACTTGTGGTTGACTTTGGCCTTGATCGCCTGGCTGAGACAGTTGTTGGGTTTGCGCACTATAAAATTGCCCTCTCCCCTGCCTTTCCATATTGCATAATTTGGAAGAATGTCATACGTGCAACCTACCATTCAAGAGTGGGGTATCTCTGACTAGCCAAGAATCTACCTAAGTTACTTGGAATCCTATGTGGGAGTCTTCTCTCCACTCACTTACTCAGTTATCTCTTCCTCACCATGGACTCAAGAGTATTTACGTTATGCTTCAGTTACAACTCTGTATTTACTGGGTTGCTCACACTGTTCCACTTCCAGCCATCGGGAGAGCTGTCACTGACTCTAGATCCCTCTGACACACTCTCAGCACTGTGGTTTGGGGTTTTTGTTTTCTATTGAGCGCTTCCATACTTTCTGACATCACAAGATGCTCCAGGCCCACCTCTATTTCCCATTCTAGTTTCAGAATCAGGGATTTCTCCAAGGAGCCTTGGTTCCTTCTTTGGAGAAGAGGATTGTAACCATGATCTGAGGGGCAGCTACTAGGATGTCATTGCTTTGAAGGCCCACTCCACTGACACAGCAAGGAAGTGTGTGTGGATACCTCTGGACCTCTGGACACACTGTTTACATATTTCTGCATGCTAAAGCTGAGTCAGTTCTGAGATCTCCAACTCTTACCTGTGCCCCCTGGATCCCTCTCGCCTCCTTGCTTATCTGTAACTCCCACTCTCCCAGTGAGAAATCTGGCTCTCACCACCTAGCAACTTTTTTACTTGTTCAGTTTAGTGTGCATGAGCAACAGCGTTGTAACCCTAACCAGTACTCCCGTGAGAAGTAACATTATCGGCTAGAAGACAGTACTTATGCTTTCTTTGCCCTTCTCTTTGAAGGCTCCACTCATTTCAGGAGCTGCTTTGGTTGGTTCCTTGTTCTTCTACCTCCTCTGTCTGCCAGGGTGTTTCATACATTTACAATACAGTTTGACTGCTCTGTAACATGCTGCATTCCATCCCCGGGTCCCCCAGCTCCCAGAGTAATTTTTTAAAGTTTCAATTTATTAGATTCACTGTGTTGTAAAGCTCCATGGGGTTTGACAAATTCCCACTGTCCTATCTCCACCGTTATCAAGTCTGGTGTCACACCCACATGCCTCAACCCTCCCGTCCTCCCCCAGCTGACAACCACTGACCTTCTCCACAAGCTCCCCTGGGAAGTGGCGCTGAAGGTGGAACAGGGCGTAGGTTGAGGTCGGCCAGCCTGTCTGCAGGGCAGATGGAAACACCTGACTGAAGGCTGTATTCACCAGTGACAGCGGGTTTCCAGAACTGGGACAAAATCGCCTTCCTGGGGAGCGTGTTTCTAAAGTAGGCGACACAGTTGTAACACATTTGGCCTGTCATATTTGAAAAGTGCTTTGTCAAAATGTGGGGTCATTGTATAAGAAAGCCGAATTAAAGTTGGAAGGAATGACAAAATTCAGACACTAGTGACAGTGCAGCCTTTAATAGCCCTGTCCTCTTTTTGTTTCCTGCGCAGCTTTCAAGTCCCTCCGGGGCACAAGAAGTGGCCCTGCTGATCAGCAACCCAGGCCTGCGCATGGAGGCTCACTGTGGGGTACAATCCACCAATAGCCCTTATCTTCTCACAGGCAAGGATGTCAGTCAGTGGTGCTTGATACAGACTCAGCCATTTCATTTCTCCCTGTCGTAAGACCCCAGTTTTCTGGAACCATCTGTCACCAATCACTTATTTTATTTTTTTTCTGGTACCGTAATTCGAACTCACGACCTTGCACTTGCCAGGCAGGCACTGTGTCGCTGAGCTAAATCCCCAGCCCCACCACTTATGAAAGGGTTACCCTGGCACGTGCCTAACACCCTTCCCCACATCCTTCCCCTCCAGGCACCAGAGGACAGCTTACAGGTAGATTTCTTGTCCATTTCCCTGGTCATTAACAAGAGTTTAGATTTAGAATGTCACCCAAGTCTTGCATGTTCAGAGGTGGAGTTCTGAGTGACTGCATAGCTGAAGTCAGGAAGTGGGATCTGGGAGGTTGGAGGTAGGTCACAGGGGGTATGACCTGGAAGGGTATGTTCTGTCCTTGGCTCTTTCCTTCACTCTCGTTTCCTGGCTGCCTTGAGATAAGCAGCCTCCACTATGCCCTCCCACCATGCTATTGCCTGGGAGACAGCCAACCACGGACAGAAGCCCCTGAATCATAATCTCCATCTTTACACTTTTAAATGTTGGGTATTTCGTCCCAGTGATGGGAAAGTGACTAATACTAGTTTCTGCTGTGGAATTAGACATACCCAGTGCTTAAGAACCAAGTTCCATCACTTTTGTCCAAGAGTACGTGCTCTACAGGCAACAGAAGGCAGATAATGGTAAAAACTGTAGGGCTGTCTCCCAGAATTAGCTAACCTGCAGGCACTAGCAGGTCAGGTTCCAAAGCACAATCCTGATTTTAGGATGGAGACACGGTGGGCTTTCTGAGTCACGCGGCCAGACAGTTGCCTGGATCCTCGATGCTGTGTGGGAAGACAGGAGCTCATTAGCCAAGGCCGCGGGCACCGAGCTCTTGTTGCGCTCAAGCTAAGGGCCCTCTCTGCAGGGGTCAAGATCACACGTCGGTTTTCACATTCAGATCAACGTGGCATGGTGGACACTCAAAGCCTGCTGGCTCTGCAGTGGAAGTGGGCTCTCTGTTCTCCAACACGGCGGACACCCCCTGCATTCAAACACAGCATCGACCAGTAAGGGTGCTTCAGGCTCTCAGGAGGCTTTCTACCCGTGCTCCCTTACATTTCACATTGTTCACTGTCTGAACAACAGAAGATCTAAGGAGGCAGATTTCCTGCAAACCCCCGGAACCAGGGACAGAACTCGGCAAGCTTCTTTGAACCCTGCAATTAAAATTTCATGAACACCCTTCACGGTAAAACCATTACAGGAAATGTTTTAGCAGTGCTGGCTGTCATGATAGAAAAATAAATTAAGACAGAAACTTCTGACAGGTAAAATGGGTCATGGCTACTTGTCGTTCTGCAAATTAGGGCAAAAAATATTTTACAGAGTTATCTGAAAGTATTTTGTGCTGATTCTTGCAAGATTCAAATCAGTGCTAAGTACTGCACAAATACTGGTGATTATTTCCCGTTTTTTGTTAACAGGATCAATTTGACAAGAAGTGATAAAGGGTAACAGGGTCCTGGTTCACAAAACATCTTCATATATTTTTTACTTATTAAATGAGAGAGTTTATGTGTGTGTTTATACTTTATTTCCAAAAAAAGAATTTAAAGTGGCCATTTACAGAAGTCAAAATGAACTGGTGTCTTAATGTTACTTTAACCGTAACAAAAACACTTAAAGAAAAATGATAATAAATTAAAGTCTGTTAGTCAGGGCCTTGATGAAATAGGGTTTTTTTCCCCCGCCAAAACTATCCATTTCTTCTAAACAGGATAAATACTAACCTGTTTTCCCTATAGAGCACTCTTATATACTTCTGAGTTGATTGTTGCTAACTTTATAAAATAAAAACTTTAACTATAAAGCTTTGTTCACAATCTTCCCAATATCCAGTTTTTTAAAACTCCACATTCCAGGGGGCTGGGGATTTAGCTCAGCGGCAAAGCGCCTGCCTGGCAAGCGCAAGGTCGTGAGTTTGGTTCCTGGTACCGGAGAAAAACCAAAAAAAAAAAAAAAAAAAAAAAACTACAATTGTAAATCTGTGTAAAATATAAAACTCCACATTCCTTTCTATACGGTAGTGATATTTCAAAACAGTGACTAGTTTTACCATTTGCTTAAACCATAAATGCGAAAATATAGACATCTGCCATACCAATAAATGATTTAAACTTTCTTTTAAAGAAATGTTATTTAAAAAGAGAGTTCCAAGAAAGTTAATACAATTCTGAGCAGTGATTATTTCTCCAATGTATGAGATGTGAGGTATAATTATAAAAAGGCTAAAAATCAAAAGGATTCGTTCTTGGTTTTTTCTTTTTAAAAATATTCAGGTGACTTGTCACATTAAGAAAGTTTGAAAAGTTCTGGCGGCGGCAGCCTTAGTCGCCCTCTGAGTCACTGTCCCTCCTCCTCATGGGAATGGAGCCCCGCACCGAGGACAGCAGCACGTCTTCAACAGACTTCTTGGGGTTCTCCTCCAGGTCTGTCTTGACTGCTCCGGATCTGGACAGTTTCCACTCCAACTCTGCAAAAGGAAAAAGTAAATCACACACGGCACCACGGCACACAGCCTTTTCTTTTTTTTTCCTTTGCTTCTTTTTTCTTCTTTTTCTGGTACCGGGAATCAAACTCATGACCTTCTGCTTGCCAGGCAGGTGCTGTGCCGCTGAGGTAAATCCCCAGCCCCCACGCAACCTTTTCTCACACCCTCAAGCCATATAAATACATGAAACAGAAAACACGACCATCAAAATTGGGTGATAATCTTCGTGCCCTAGTGTTACAGTGCTGAGAAAGAGAGGAAAAAAACAGGACCTATAAGAAGGAAAATTGTAAAAACTTTCACTTTTTCAGATGCGGTATTACACACACTTGAACCTATATGAAAACTACAGTAAGATACAAAGAATAAGCCTTTCCTCTAGCTACCACAGCTCCCTAGCTTGGAAAATTTCCTAGGAAAGAAACAGGCAGGAAACATTTAGAGGAAATAACCTCCCTAGGTCACATGGCAACCTCATCAAATCTAATTTTAGTTAATTAACGGAAAATTTCAGGCCATGTCCAATATCTCATCTACTAGGGTCAAAGGATAACTGCTGGGTGACACCCTAGAGCTAATACATTTGTTCCAAGTGATATCAAATAATTAAAAATAAAGTACCGGAGACTAAGCAATCAGAGACCAACAACACGGTTCCTGTATTTCACCCTCTTATAGTTAGTGCAATTGTATACGGGGTAAGACCTTGTGAAGTAAAATCAGGAGACGCACTTTTCATCAAAGAACCCAGGCATTACCAAACGACATCCCAAGAGATTCTAAAATTGAAAACCTGGATTACAGGCAGGTCAGTGCTAACTAGGTGCTTCCACTACAGTCTGCCATGTTTCCTGAAGTCATATTAACATGCTCCACGGGGCAGTGAGTAGAACAGCAGGTACCAGGGTTTGGGGTTAAATGAGGAGATGCCAGTCAAAGGGCACAAAGTTCCAGTTATAAAATGAGTAAGTTCTGGGGATTTAATATACAGCACAGTGATCACCATTAATAACGCATTAAATGCTGGACATTTGCTTGTAGCAAATATGTTAAGTATTCTCGCCAAACGAAAAAAGGAAAGAGAGAATTCCATGAGGTGATGGATGTACTAATTAGCTTGACTATGGTAACTGTTTCATGTTGCACAACCAAATCATCATGCTGCACACCTTAAATATAAACATTTCTTTTCTGTCAGTTACATCTCAGTGGTGCTGGGGTGGTGCTCCATGAAGATGATCATTATCCTAATATTTTTGCTTTATGTACATTGGCTGGATGTTGCGATAAAGCAACAAATTTCTGGCTCGCTTCCTGCCTCGTAGGCGCCCAGAATGAGGGGCCCAGGCACACGGGGAGCCACGGACGGGGAGCCAAGGGCGGGGAATGCCGGTCTTTGGACTGGCTCGCTCCCTGCCTCGTAGGCCCCTGGAGGGAGGGCCTCCGGCACACGGGGAGCCACGCGCAGGAAGCGCCGGTCTTCTGGCCAGCTCGCTTCCTGTCTCGTAGGCACCTGGAAGGAGGGGCCCAGGCACACGGGGAGCCACGGGCAGGGAGCACTGGTCTTTGGACTGGCTCGCTCCCTGCCTTGTAGGCCTCCGGAAGGAGGGCCTTTGGTGCAGGGGGAGCCACGCAGCAACAAGCGCTATTGCGCGCTGGCCCTCAGGCCGGCCAAGGCCGCTCAATTGAGAACATCCATAACACAGAGAAACAATGACACAATTGGCCCACCATGCACCAGCTGCAGATGCCCACCCACGGACATGTGTTAATCATTCAAACATAGAGAAACCCCTGGGAATACATGCCATACAATGCGCCACTCTTGCTCCTGCCATTGAGAACCAGAAAGGTCCAGAGTCAGTGGAGGAGCAGCTGCTGAACAAGGACTCAAGGAACGTGAGAATGCAGACTAAGCCCAAGGAGTCAGAGGCCCTGTGGACTGGGGTCATGAGAGCCGTTCGGAAGCTGTAAACCAGGAGGACCTTGCACAATACCTGCAGAGACTCCCTGGAAGCCATTCTTCCCCTGATAGTACAGGCTGTGGTGGAGCTCCAGAGAAGTCTGCAGCAGGATTCCTGCTGCCTGTGCTGACAGTTGGGGAGAGGACACTAACTGGTTGTGGGCTCCCAATGCGATGGGAGGCTGGAGAGAAAACGCTACAAAAAATGGCTTTTGCTCCAGACGGCTCACTTGATTTTTGACAACCCTTAGGCTGTAACTACTTGTTAGATCCTTCTTGCGTATCTCTGTCTTCCTGAGAAATCACTTCGAAGATACCACCATGTATTACAGCAGCCATTGATATTTTCCTACTAATCTATCCATCTCTGTAATGTTTGTATTGTTCCTATCCTATTTCATAAATGGATGCATGTCTATTATTATGTGCTTCCTACAACAACCATTGAGAATAGTTAATGATTATTCAATAGGTCACTCATGTATAGCTCTATTTATTTTCTTTAGAAGCCACTCTGAAGATACCAAAGTGTAGTACAACTATTGATAATCTCCTACATCTTTTGTCTGTAACTCAATATTATTTGTCTATTTGTTTTCCTGAGAAACTATCTTGTACATAACAATATGTAAAACAATAACCATTGATAATTTCCTACTACTTTGTCTGTAATTTGGTAAGCCCCCCCCATTATTGTTATCCTTCTTTTACTCTTTAAAATAAAAAAAAAGCAACAAATTTCTGTTAAAAAATGAAGATTTCTGATTCTGATTCAAAAATATATCTACATAGCCACATATACATACATGTACGAGTATGTAAGTTTACTAATCCTCAAGACTTTTTAGAAATAAAGACCAGATATAACAAGACATGGCTATGGTTTAGATGCTATCTGCTGCTGACACAGTGGATGGCAGCAGGTGGGACCTGTAAGAGGGATTCATGTAGGTCTCCCAAGACTGGGCTGGTTCTCATGGGCATGGGTGGTTCTTAAGAGTGGGTGTTATAAAGTGAGCCTGGCAGCTCTTGGTCTCTCCTTGCACAAGTGCCTGCTTCCCCTCCACTTCTCCACACCGATGAGACTGACGCAGCATGAGGCCTCACCAGAAGCTGGTGCCAGGCTACATGAGACAAACAAACCTCTTTTCTCCATAACATACTCAGCCCTCCAGTGTTCTGTTACAGCAACAGAAAATGGGACTCAGACTATACCTCATGATCTGATCAAAAAACGTCAACATAAGCTATCCATCACTTTGAAATACTGTTTTTATCTTTGAACAATGGAATAGCCGAGTGTGGTGGCGCACACCTGTAATCCCAGCACTTGGGAAGTCGAAGCAGGAGGACTGTTGTGAGTTCGAGACTATCCTGGGCTACAAAGTGAGGTCAAGGCCAGCCTGAACTGCATAGCAAGACGCTATCTCAAAGTCAAAAGAAAAAAAAAAGTGAATGAACAATGGAATACTGCCTAGCTGATGTATCTCTTATGTGTCTTTATGTTTATACTTTCTCCAACTGCCATCTTAGTGGTAATGTTCAAAACTACATTTCTGAGGGCTAGTATAGCTGATATATCACTACAGTAAAGAGAGAAAGGATTCTACTCAGCAGAGACATCTCTGGCCTCAGGCTGCCTTTCACATGTGGATGTACACTGTGACACTTCCCCGCCCAGCAGGTGGAAAGGAACAAAAAGCACCCTCCACAGAAGCAGAGTTAACAAAAATCAAATGCAAAAGCTACTAAGGTACTCAACTGAGACACATTTACATATAAGCCAGGGGCACTAATATGATGGAAATTAAATGAAAATAAAAAATGAAGGCAATGACCTTGAGCTACACTACAACTTAAACAAAACACGATCGTCTAAGAGGAGAGATTCAATGTGTCTCGTCCCGCTCAGCATCGGCCAGACAGGGGCAAAGGCGGACGTGACTTGTCCGCATGACCACAGCCCAGGCCCCAGCAAGCAGGCTGCCTTCCCTTGCCCAGCCCCGGGAGCCCCTCACCATCTCTTGTCAGGTTCATGCCACCGAACACCAGAGGACCGATGAACTGAGCCTTGATGTCCCCTTCAAGGTAGACGAATACTGTGGGCAGGTTCCGATCAGGGTAATCGGGAATGCAGGTTGTTGAAATGGCCTTGATAAATTTGACATCAGGAAACTTCCTGGCCAGTCCACTGAAGTGCTGATTGATCAGGGCACAGAGGGGAATCCTACAGAAACAGAAGGAAAAGCAGCTGTGATCCCACGTTTACAGAACCAAGCCCAGCTGCCCTGCCACCTACCGTAAGGCCTCCTGAGGGCTGCCCAAGCGGTGTGGCCTAGAATGGGATGGCAAACCTGCTAGAGACAAGTGGCCAAAGTGCAACCCAAAACCCATTTATTCACTGCCAAGTGCCAGCACTGCAATTAAACCTGAATACTGAGGGTTTAGGTCTAAAAAACAACTCATATATTAACATCTTTTGTCTTACACGACATGTGTGCCATAGGTTCACCACCACTGGCCTAGAAAGATGGAGCCATGTTTTCAAAAAACTTTCCAAAATGTTCAGGGAATGTGACAATCTCAAAATGCGAAGTACCATGTAACCGAACCCAACAGTAACTCCGAAGGACAGCCTCAATGTAAAAGGCAACAGCTATGCTATCTCCCTCTAGCGGGTGAATGAGGACGCTGAAGATTCAGAATTGCGAATTCGGTCAGAATGTATCTCTTCTCTGACCTATCCCTCAACAAGCACTGGACACCATAATTTAAGAACAACACTTAGCTGATGGGAATACTGGACATCCAAAGCGTCAGTAAACGTAAGTACTATTAAGTTCACTCTTGGCCACCTCCAACAGCAATAAATTACATGTACTTTTGAAATGGTAGAGTTTCTTGTAAATGTGTCCAACCTGTGGCTTACTCTCTGTTTTAACGCTATAATAAATATAAATTTTAAAAAGGAAGTAGTTACTTATATATATTAACTACATTATAAATTTTATATGTAGCCAAGATAATTCTTCATCACTCAGCGTGGCCCAGACAAGCTGAAAGGTTGGTCGTGCCTATAAGAGACGAGTGACTCAAAATTTTTAGCTTAAGTTATAGGTTCTGCTTGCAAGTCTTAAGATGAAATTAGGCCTTAAAAGTTTGGGTAAATTGGCAACAAAAACACAGAGCAATAGTGCAGCAAGTGAAAGAAAAAGTAACCTTCAACATGGGTTACACTTGATACAGGTTCAAGACGTAAATTCAAACGAGCATCTGGTAGACTGTGTGGAAGAGGAGCTCACCCTTGCTTGTAAAGGTGCAAGACCACCCATAAGCCCTCACCGGCTTTGGTAACTTCCTGAACATAGTCCTTGCCGGAGATCTCCAAAACTTCTCCAAATTTATTCTTCAGTTGAGTTGCTTTCCACTCAGCCAGTCTTTGCTGCCTGCACGTGGGGAGGAAAGAAACGCCTTACACACATGTAAGTCTTCACATGCACGTGCACACACGCATACACACACACACACACACACAGTCCAGAAGGCAACGCCTGTTAACCACCTCGTCTTACTTATTTACCTCATAGCAAGAGTCTAAGACCATGCCACTGAAATCTGCAGTATTACTGTTCAGTAGTAGTCCTTTTCAAATATTATCTCAGCCAAAAATTAATTTCTCAGGAGACACACTGTGTTACCCTGCAAGGCCCCGAAGTGTCCCTCTAAGCGACACGAACCTGTACATTTCAACAGCCCGTTCGTCTTCCTCATTGAATTCATCTTCATTGTCCTCTAGTTCTTCCAAAGTCATATCTTCGTATGTTTTCACTAAATATAGTTAAATTGGCAAAAGGAAAAAATTCAGAAGATTAACAAACAACTACTTCAGGTTTCCCTCTTCTTTTCTCTCCTAAAGCTATGCACACAACACTAAGACAGATGTCAAGGTATTTCACTCGTAATAAAAAGCTGAGGGTGTTTTTAAAGAGATTTACGATGGTATCTATCTGCTAGTCTGCCCAGCTTACCTCTACACGGTAGCAAGGGTATGAATAAGCACTTTCCCAGGTTTATAAAATAAGGCAGTTATATGGGCTGATCAAAAAATACGGTATGCTTAAGTAAAAAAAAATTAAGGTAAAAGGCACATGGTCATTAATTCCCCTCAAAATATACCCTTCTCTTTGAACACACTTATCCCATCATTATTGCGACTTTCTAAAGCAGTCCTGGAGTCCTCCTTTGTGCATGCAGTGTGATAAAAATACGGTGACTGCTGCCACTGAGTGCCATCCAACGGAAAGGCAGGCTCCTAAACACATGACAGTGCGTCCTCCTCCACCTCATCCACCAGATCTAGTACTGGAGGCTTCTGGCTCTTCCCCAAAGTCAAAACGACCGTGAAAGGAAAACATTTTGAATACATTCAGGACATCGAGGCAGCCATGACTGCAACTGAAGACACTCAGGAAAGAGGACTTCCGGAAATGCTGCAGGAAATGGCAGGAACCACGGGATGGGTACGTTCGAAGAGAAGGGGAGAGGATTTGGCAATCTGTCTTTTACTGTAGTAAATTAAAAACAAAAAAACAAAAAATACTGTGCTTTTTGATCACACCTCTTGTATTTGCTTGAAATCTCCGGATCTGAGCGTGTGTATACAGTCATGGGTGGGGTACCAACAGCTCTCCCATCCACAGGAGGTGGGGTGGGTATGAGGGCCCTCCCCCAGCCCACAGTTCCTGAAGTGATCATCACAGCCTTCTCCACCTTTTCTTACTAGTGGTCCGCAGCTCCACCTTTTCTTGTTACCCACTGCTATGGAATCTGTGTCCCCTTTTCATTGCTTAAAAAACTCCTGCTTCTTGATATCAAGTCAGGCTGTGCCCTGCGTCTCTTTACTCTCATCATGGATTATGGCCATGCTTTGATGCTGGGTGGCCACTGACCCAAGAACTGAAGTTGGTCCTCCTTTGGCTTCCAGATGCTCCTTCCCCTTATCCCTATGTCCCTCCCCTGTGAGCCCCTGGTGACAAAAATTCCTCAGGGCTTGGTTCTTTCATTTGTTTTTGTGTTTTGAGACAGGGTCGCTTTATGGAGCCCAGACTAGCCTTGAACTCCCTACGCAGCTCAGGCTGCCCGCAGACTCACAGTCATCCTCCCGAGTGCTAAGATTACAGGTATACACCACCATATCCAGTAAGGCTCAGTCCCTCGAGTCCTTTCCTCTTTACCTGTACTTGCTCCTTTGGTGAATGCATCAAGTCTCACGGCTTTAAACACGGTGCCTATGCTGACAACTCCCAAAGTTATGCCTCCTGCTGACTTCTCTAACTGGAGAAAATCAGACCCAGTGCCTGCTCAGCATCTCGACTTGTCCAGCAAGAATAAAGGGGACAGGTCCTGGACAGGGTTCGATGTCTCCCTCCGAAGCTGCTCCCCTTCCAGCCTTTCCCCTCCCAGGGCAAGTAGTCATCCTTGTCCCAGCTCTCACTCCTCAGGTCCTCAGGACATCCATGGCCCCCGATCGGGAGCACTGGCTGTAAGTACACGCCGGAGCTCAGAGATTCCTTCTGCCACAGCACCTGGAGGCTCAGAAAGTTGCTTCCAGGCCTAAGTAGCCACAGAACAAGAAAGTCAGCAACCTCACCGACTGACTGCTGGAGGACACTCTGCTCCTCTTCTTCCGCCTCCTTTTCCAAGTCCTTCAGGTTTTCCTTGGAGGGCAGGATGCCCTTTTTGCGTAAGATGTCATTCCACTCAGTGTCTGCATTGGGGTCCTTGAACAGCAGGGATGAGGATGCGTGAATGCCAAGTCCGGTACAGAGGGCACCTCGTCAAACGGGCAATGTGGGGATGAAGGGAATGCTAGCCAAACTGCTCTATGGCCCACTGCTGAGAAAAGTGTCAAAAGACCCACTGCCTCTGTTCTGTTCTTCCTCCCTCCCCAGAAACAGGAGCTAGGCTTGGGGTAAAAACCAGGGCACGATGTACAGCTCAGCATGGATGTTGACACTAGGTTCTGCCCTGGCTTCTGAGCATTGCACTTATTAATAACCTAGAGCGATTCATTCATTCAACAGATATTTAAGTACCTCCTGTATGTAAATTACTATAAATTAGGCAAACTGGAAGCATGGTGAAGCCATCACCTGGTAGAGTGGGGAAGGCAGCAGTGAACAAGTATACATACATTATATTATCTATCTACAGACCAATTGTGGCTGCTGGTCTAGAGTCAAAGGGGATCTTCACAAGGTGGACGGAGACGTTCTCTAGAGGAGGTAACACTGACCATCACCTAATGGTGGGGGGAGAGCCAGCCATGTGAGAATGGCGAATTAGGAAATAACTTCCCAGGCAGAGGGACCAGCATAAGTGAAAGGCCTCAAAATAAACAGACCGTCACAGTTTGAGCATCTCACAGCCTTGGTGGTGAGAGAGGGACGGAGGAAGACTGAGGTTAAGCTGACAGAGTTCCAAGGTCCAATCAGGAAGGAAGAGCTGAGACCCCTGGGAGCAGCTCTTAAGAGCTGATGTTCGTTAAACAAAGCAGCGGGACCCTAAGCCCTTCCCCTGCGTCTACTCCATCCTCCAACGCGGAGGTGAGCCAGGGAGTTCAGGAAGACACTGCCATGCCAAACGGGGCCAAACTGACCAGAGCCGGTGTCACAAACACGATGTCAAAGCGGGCTCTCGGATCCAGAACTCAGCCCTACAAGCGTGGGCGGGCACGGCACGGCTCGGCAGGAGCAGGGCCGTGGAGCTCAGCCTTGGCCGGGAAAACGAGCTCAGGGAGCACTGTGGAAGGGATGTGGGACACCCAGCCGTGCTGAGAGGTATGGAAAGGGAAGTGACCAGAAGCCTGCCAGCAGGTGGTCGGGGCAGCCCTGGTCCTTCCGGCCCTCACAGAGGGGCGCGGCCCATGTGCTGCAACTGCAGCTGGTCACCCCGCCCTCTCCAACCGAGGCCACACCGTCCGCACTTCCCGTCTGCCTTGGAGCGCAGACCCCGGTTCAAAACTCCTCCCCGAGCTCAGGGAGGTCAGGCTCAATGGCCAGTAACAGAATCTGGCTGTCACTGATGCCTGTGCATAAAGGCCATTTCTTTGGAGTCTTCTTTCACTTCCTTTAGGCTTTTTTCTTTCAATTCCTTTAGGCTTTTGTCAAATTCCATTAGTAAAGCCCGAGGAGGGCAGAGGAGGGAGGAACAGGGACAGAGAACACAACTAGGGGATGCTGACTGCATTGATATTAGGAAACTGACGCTGAGCAGACTGTGAGGCCGAGCTTGGAACCCAGGGAGCCCTTAAAGGAGGCACCCGGGCTGAGCACCGGCGCTGCTGCGGACACAGCCTCCGAGCCCTCGGGCGGGTGCCGGACGCCAGGACACGCGGGGCTCCGGCCGGGCTCAGGGGCGGGGCCGCCGCTCCCCGCGCCAGCTCCCCCGCCGCGCGCCCGCCCAGGTGCTCACTGTGCAAGTTAGTAAGTAGCACGCCGCTTACGTCACCCGCGATCGGGCAAGTCCTTCAGAGGCCTCAAAGGGGGACCACCTCAAGGCGGGCCAGCCCCCAGGGGTCCCTGCTGAGACTGGGGCACCCGGTGGGGAGGGCACGCCCGCCCTCCCGCACTGCGCCTGCGCGCGTCTCGACTCGCGTGGCCTCGGAACCGCGGCACCCGGCAACTCTGGCAGGGCAGGCGCCCGCGGCCGGAGCAAGCCCACCAGGTCCAATGAGCGGCCGTGCCTTAGGCCCCCGCGCACCTCGCCTCGCTCACCTGCATCTTGACTTTAGATCGCTCGAGCCAGCCCCACCGCGCTACCCCGACCCGCTCAACTCGCTTCCACGCACGCGCGCAGCCGAAGCTCCGCCTTTCCCCCCCCCAACCAGCCCTTCGCTCCGCCCACAAGCGCGAGCTGGGTGGAACCAAGGCGGAAGCCGGGCTCCGCGCCCTTGCCTCAACACCCGTCGGCGACGCCTTGCGCATGCGCCAGGCTGGCTGCTCGGGCGGCCGCGGAGTTCTCGGGGCCGAGGCTGCTCCCGGCGCGGCCTTATACGGGCACAGCCGCGGCTGGGGAGGGGCGGGGCTGGCGGGGGCGGCGCCCGGAGTGACACGGCTTCCCGGCCGCCGGCCCGGGCCCGCCTGACCTGGAAGTTAGAAACAGAAATGTGTTTCGGCCCTCCGGCGCCGCGATTAAAAACGATCGGGGGTCCCCGGGACTTTAACCACCAACCTGTCACTGTCGGGGTGACCGCTCGTGCGAGACAGACTTCCTGAGAGCCTTGAGTGCCGGCCTCCGCTCTGGGCTCTGCGGACTCGGCGGGTCGGGAGGGGCCGACGGGCTGGGGTGCAGCTCGGCGGGCAGCGCTTGCCCACGCCTAACCCTCGGCACCGCCGGCAGGACAGAGCAGGACAGGCGAACGCCGTTTCACCTCGCTCCGCCTCGGCAGAGTCACACGCACAGTGCGCAGATCTGCGACCCGGAGTAGGCATCGGCTGCCTGACTGTAGCGTGCAGCTGCCGGGCCCCGCCGGCATCAGTGGAAGGGCTGGGGTACGCCCGCGCCGGCTCCCGTCTCCAGGCGGTAAAGCGGGCGCTGACCCTAGAGGCCACGCACCTGTAGGTGGGCGCTGGGCGCCCCGCTTTGACAAGGCATATTGGGATGACCTCCGAGAAGCAAAGGATAGCAGCGGGGGAGGAGGAGCTATCCCTCCAGATGGTAAAACAACGTGGTACTGAGGCAGAATAGACAAAAGGGTCGAAGGGACAGTGCAGCAACTCCAGAGCAGCTCCAGGAACGGGACCGAGTACACAGAAGCATTGCGATTAGTGTGTGCGCGAGTCAGCTTCCCAGTCTGTTGGGACATTTGGAAGAGCATTGGAAAGTAGAGAAAATTGGATACATACTTCACAATGTGAAGAATTTATACTTTTTTTTTTTTTTTTTGGAGACAGAGTCTCTGTGTAGTGCAGGCTGGCCTTGAGCTCACTATGTAGTCAAGCTGGCCTCAAAACTAGCGGCGGCCCTCCAGCCTCAGCCTCTCAAGTGTTGGGATTACAGGCGTGTGCCACCACCCCCAGCTGTATATCAGAGTTTCAAAAGAGAACTAAAAGTGGCAGAAAAAAATATGGGCTATAGTCGGGCGTGGTGGCACACGCCTGTGATCCGAGCGCTTGGGAGACTGAGGCAGGAGGATCGTTGTGAGTTCGAGACCAGCCTGGGCTACAAAGTGAGCTCAAGGACAGCCTGAAATGCAGAGCAATATGCTGTCTTAAAAAGACAAAACAAGAAAAAATATGGGCTAATTTTAAAGTTAAAAATGGAAAAAGACTTCACTGACTATTATTCACATCCAGAAGACAAATTTTTAAAAATAATAGGTTCGCCTACTTTTATTGCATAGGAATAATGCTGAAAAGCCTAGTGCCTTTGGTATAACATAAAAAGTTAAAATAAAAAATACATTTATGTGTATATTCATGTTTGCTTAATTTTGCAAGAAGAATCCCAGGAAAAAGGAAACAAATGGAGAGGGGTAAAGTTGTAGAGGCAGAGATGGGAATGAGAATCCGCTAATAAATTTTATTTAGTAGCAAGGACAATTTTCTGGGGCCTGAAGCAAATTCAATCTTGAAGGTCCTCTTTAAGAAAAGAACGCAAAACCATGCATGTAAAATTAGGCATGAATGTTTAAGCTGAGAGAGTTACAAATTTCCAGTGTGTAAAAGCTGACAAATTCCACAGATAGCACAAACCCAGAAAAATACTATCCTTAATTGTGTGTTTCTGTAGACTAACTTCCCCCAGTACAAGCCAAGCCCTGTTTCTTTTAGACTACTGAAATACCTCATCCCGCAGACAGAGCCCCCCAGTTACATTCTTAACGACCTTATGCTCTCAGGCCCTGCAACTTCTGGTCATATCCCTGGGTGGGGGTGGTAGCAGTACTCCTGCAAGGCATTTCTGACCGGGGATGACCCGAGATTACCACACACAGAAATAGCTCCAAGCCGCAAAAATGTGTCAGTAAATACACCGCGCCCCCAACTCAACCTTCCCTTAATGTTAGTGGTTTTCATATTGGTTGTAAACCACTTTAGTATTTGTAACTTCATTCCTGCTAAGTAATAGCTTCCTTGTGCAAAGCTTTGGGTTGGCTTTCACCAGACTTTATTTCCATCTCTGTACCTCCGGATGTCTCCATAACAAGGTAAAATTTCCTGGTATTTTTGCACACATTTGCTCCTGACAGAGATGGAAGGCCGGTTTGGCCTACTGGCCCTTCCTAGCAGTGCCCACTTACTCCCTTTCTCCCTTCTGGGACAGGTGTTCACGACCCCTTATAAAGGATGAATGGATTTAATAAAACTAAAGAAGACAAAGTCTGAAGTTACACACAGTGTGTAGATTTCTTAACAGGGAGGTAGTAGAAACTGTGCTCCATTTAGCTCAAGCATCTGTGGAAATGTGGCTCAGATGTGCTGTACCAGGACGCTCCTGTGATGCATGACCAGATAGGACATTATTGTTTCTTTATACTAGCAATTTTCTAGCAATGCCTCCTGTTAATGACTCCTGCACAAATTGCTGGAAAACTGCTGCAGCTGGCATTAAAATTTAGTGACTGTGAGCCTTCGCATTACAGGATCCTGTGTAGAAAAATGATGCCATTAGCCCAGGTTCCTTCTCAAGGGGAAAGCAGACAGCAGATTCTCTTAGCCAGCTGATCTCAAACTGTCATAAGACAGAAAGCCCGTATGTGAAGATGCAGTGGAGTGGCAGTGTTTAAAAGAGCAGTTTCAATGTGTGCTCTTTAAATGAGCCATCATTAAAGGGGGGGCTCCACGGCTGCTGCCAGGGAAACCACAATTCATATTCCAGATGTGTTTGTGTGTGCTCCTAAGGCACCATCATCCCAAGATTTGTTTGTGTTTCTTCAGTTAGTGAAAAAGTGTGTCCCTCTGCCCTGCTTTTCGTCTCAGTGCCTCGCAGCCCTGGTTTACTTGTCATTAAACAAATGCAGTGAACGGAGATGAAAGTGCTGGTGTACGATTAGGGGTGATTGTGCGCTGCGCGGTGTGCTTCTCCCCAGTTGGAGACCAGCTGGAAGTTAGTCGTTAAGAGGTGGGCAGGTGAAGACAAGAGGCACAGGTGATGTCTGGCGTGAAAACATCTGGGACTTTTGGGAGCTCGAGCGCCATTGAACACTCCCCGGGAGACAAACACTGGGAAAGAAACATCTAGGAGAACGTTTGCTGAACCGTAATTGTGCAGAGGCTGCTCTCCCAGAAGGCACCCTGACTACTGGAATTCAGCAATCGTTTCCTAGGAAAGCAGACAACACTTGATTTCGATGATGGCTTTGTAGTCAAGGTTTTCTAGGTTTCATAAGGAGCGGGATCACAAAATATCACAATTACTTGGAAATAGTTTAGAATGCAGATTGTGGATCCAACTCCCAGAGCCTGTGGTCCTGCAGGTGCAGAGTGGAGCTCACTCCTCACCTCTTGGATAGCTGTCAGGTGGTTCCAGCACTGATGGTCTTTAGGCCATATTTTGTTTCACTGGAATTCTGTATCGTCTTTATAAATGGTCGTGACGGCTATTGTAAGCATTTAGCATGACATTATATAATGTCAAGTAGAAAAAAGGCAGGTATTATTAGGACGTACAGATGGCTTTACATCAACTAGCCGTGGATGGAAAATATTTAGGGAAAACTTGCACCTGTGCTAAATGTGTACATTTCAGCATCTCTACTACTTGTACCCTAACCCAAACCATCATCTCATTCCCAGGTTCCTGCACACCCCCAACCCTAGGAATTGCTGCAACCGCGTTCTGAGCACTCACTAATAGTAAAAATTCGATCTTTCTCCTGTTTAAAGCTGCCAGTGGATTCTCACTGACTTTGAATGGGGCACCAACCTATTAACAACCCTTTAGTGCCCTATGGTGGCAGCCTTTAACTGTGTTGTCATAGCTTCCATGGCATCCTCAACGCTACATTCCAGCCACCTTGCCCATCTTTCACAGTGCCTCCTTAGTGGAGGACCCGCTTTTGCTCTAAAGCACACGCATAGCTCCCAGAATGCTCTGCCTTCAACCCCAGGGGGATAATCATCTCTTCTGTTTTCCACACTACCAAATCTCAAGCCCCTTAGGAGCCCGCACCACGCACGCCCCTCCTACTACCACGTGGCAGACCCAGAGTTGCTCTGAATCTGTCTTAGTTCTGGGGACTGCCTGATTCACTGACTTGTTCCTTGCTAACTAAACTGTTGAAGTACTGTCACAGATAGATAATAGCCACATCCTGTCCCTTGCCCGTGCCAGACCTGCACTGCCACAGAAATATAAGTAATTCCTTTGACTAGTCATCTTTAAATTTCAGATTACATGCCTCCAGTGGGTTCCCCAAGCTCCATTTCCCTGTTCTATTCATTCTGTTTGCCCTAGAGAATTATTTCACACCTTCTCCTTTCTTCCCAAAGTCCAACTGGTTTCTCTCTCTCCTCATTTTCAGAAGATGCTCTTAAATTGTAGTGGAGACAGGAAAAGCAACCAGAAGGAGCCCTAATCAAGCTCCCACCATCGACTCCAGTAACCTGTCGATGCCGTGGCCTTCCAGCTCTGTAACTGTCCCGTTTGGGCTCCTGAGAAAGGGCAACACCCACTTTGTGCACTGGAGACCTCTACCCATCTCCTTTGTTCATGGTTGGATGGACTGTAGCAATCATTTCTCCTGTGCCTGCTATAGGTTCTCCCCTCTGCTCAACAAGTGAGCATACTGGAATACAGTCATTGCCTGCTTAGTGTTTTGGCCAAAGACAGATGGATTTGTGGTGGTGGTCCTAAGAGATGATAATGGAGCTGAAAAATGTCTGTGACATAGTGACATTATAACCATTGCTCACGTGCTTGTGATGATGCTGACGTGCACAAACCTACCGTGTGGCCAGGCGTGTAAACGTGTAGTACATACAATTACGTACAGTATGTAAGTCTT